AATTTATATATTGTATTTATATATTTATATATATTTATATCATGCACTTTACTTTCTGGATTATAGTTGGGATTCTGGAACTGGGAGATTTCAAAGTGAATTCGAAGGGATGAAATATCCATTCCTGGGTCCATGAATTAGTAGTGACCAGGACCCAATGATTGCGCACCTGGGCACAGCCCTTAGGGCCGGTTCCCACCATCTCTAGTGCGTACCACCACGATTAGCTGCTGGAAAGCACTGGATACCATCCCGGTCGGCTCCGTACATTCTGGGGCAGGAGTGTGTGTGGCGGTGCATTCAAGTCAATGGCACCACCACGCTCCCACCACCTGCAGAGCGATCACCCTCACCAGAAAGCATGGCACATCAATGCAAGCACTAGTACAAGCACTATTTTTTTCAATCGCACTGGACCGCAACGCAGGCATTGATGTGCCGCACCTTCTAGTGCAGGCGATCGCCCCAGAACGCAGGGAGCCGGCCAGGATGTGATCCAGTGCGTTCCAAAAGCTAATTGTGCTGGAATACACTAGAGATGGTATGAATCGGCCCATCTGGAAAGGGTGCTGGTTAATGATCAGAACTCCGGAAAACTCCGCCCAGGAGTCAGAGTGGAGCCATGTGTGTGTGTTGCAATCACATAGAAGACAGCCCAGGAGGCTGAGAGAGGCAGTGACACATGAAGAATGTGTCTAAGAGTCACACAAGAGGTGTCAAAGTCATTGGGAGCTGATAAACAGTATTGAGCACTGCTGTGGACTGTGGCTCTGTTGAGAAAACCCTATAAATATAAATCACACATACACACACTCTATTTTCTAATTTAATCCGATCTTCCTCTTCTTTCCCCATGTTTTCATCTGTCCCTCCAGCGGTGTGGCGGCTCTCCGATCCAGCGCTGAATCCTCTCTGCTTAAAGGCACTTCCGATCCCATAGGCTTACCTTGCGTCTCTGCTCGTCTCCCGGCCTAGAATCCGAACTGCGCATGCGCCCGGCCCAAGATCCTTTGTGGCCGCACGAACAGTTCCGGACTCTCGCCGCGGGAGCACGCAGCGATAATAAGGTCAGTCTAAACCGCTGTTTACGCGTTTTTTGTTACTTTTTGCCTAGATCTACTGCTTGTCAGCAGTAGATCTAGGCAAAAAAAACGGGAGGCTTTAGAACCCCTTTAAGCGCCATCCACGTAAGCATCTAGCATTGCAAGGTTACTCAATTACATTGTACTTTCCTACTCCACAAACACTATTTCTTGATGGAGGCAGCAGCAACATGTGCAACAATGTGAGGAGATTGTAGGGAAAGGCTACAGTGCTAGGTTTCCATATCGGAGCCCTTCACCCAAAATGAAAGTGACAGTTATAGATTAAAATATTTTTTTTAAAGAAAACCATAATGGTTTTAGGTCAGTGTAACTTTATTTTTATGGAGAGGGAGTGAGAGAGGGAGAGTGAGAGAGGGAGAGACAGCAGTAGCAGCCTAATGGATGGTTGTTTTTGTCTGTTCAAAGCTTTCGACTGAACGGTGTGATAAAAGTCTCTGGAATTAATGTTACAGTTTTGTGTGTTAATTTCAGCTTGAGCTATGGAATGCTTAAAACCAGGCTCTGAACAACAGGCTGATATGCAGTATGTAAAAAAACTTAGTATTGCAGTGTGCACGGATACCTTTCTTATACTGTAGGACTAACACTAACTCTCGAAAGCTTGCCTTCTATATATTTTGTTAGTCCAATAAGAAATGTATCATTGCACACTGCAATACTCAGTTTTTTTTTTGTTTGTTTTTTTACATATACACACACATATATATATCATACACACACAGACATACAAAACATTAATATGCAAAATGCCATATTTGCCTGATTAGAAAAAGACTGAAAATACTTTTTAAATTGCATTTTCTTTTTGTATTATTACTGAGCATAATAAAGATATAAAGATAATCTCTACAAAAGAACTACACATTCCCTTTAAATGCTAGGTAAAGAGACTCATTGTGGGAACAGGTTGCTGTATAAAAGCAGCAAAATTAATTTGGCACAGTAAGAACATGAAATCTTAGGCCACCGGGCCTCAGGCAATTTTACTGTAACACAGTCTTCTCTATGCTAATGTTATGAATCTGTGAAGGGTGCTTCAGGCTACATACACTGGACAAAGCCATGTCAAGACACCCCCCTCTGAGGAACTTCTGCAGCAAACAAGATCTGTAATATCAACATGGACTTGTGGTGCAGTGCAAGCTAATTCCAGTGCAATGTAAAACAAAGCTGAATGCCCACGAGTACTGTAATACTAGAACATGTGACACTATGCAACCATATGGGCTGTTATTAGCCATTTTAGGCTTTTCCCATATATAACCAAACTTGCAATATTTAAAAGTTTAAAGAAGAACTCCGGGCATATGAATTGCAGGATCAAGGATTGATTTATTTGACTTAATTTTGGACCCTAGAGAAAAATTAGACTTTACCCTTGCAGTGGGGCTACCCTCGCACTGCAGGGGTTGATTTTTCATATTCTTCTTTATTAAAGATGCAATACCCGGAGTGAAAATAAATAAGTAAAATATTCTATTCCTAAGGGGACAATTAGCTGCATCCACAACTTTGTATGTCCTATTTTTAAAAGATTGTTTTGTTCAAACAGGGAATCTAATG